AAAATCTAATCTAATGTTTTTATAATGGTAACTTATTACTTTTATAATCACTTTAAATTTGCTGTAGAGTATACCTATAGTAATTTATCTAAAACATTCAATTTAAAATAATACTTTGAAAAAGCCAGGGAGGGGCAAATGCCCCAGCTTCCCCCCCCCTGCGGGCGCCTATGCTGTCACCGCATGCCAGCATTGCTTAAATGCGATAACGGATGACAGAAATAGACGGTTTATCGATTTTTTACTGTATATATGCATGATATATTATTAATATATCGTTATAATTATACGTGTTATATATATTATATAGGTTTTTATCTTATGCCGGCTGCCGATTCTCGCAGTCTCGCTATACTTTTGCTAATCCGCTCCATAACCCATTACGAAAATATTGAGTCAAAACAATATTAACAATGTATTTAATTTATATAATTTTCCTTTCCTCGTCTTAAAAAAAATGGTTTAATCAGGTGAAAATAAATTTCATTTTGCCGACTGAAAATCAAATATTGCCGAGTGGGAGGATGACACCCCCTCATGACCACCCTTTCGGTTCGTCCCTGCACACTCATACATATTGACATTATCACAACAAATTTGGGAAGTAATATTAGGTGTATTAATAATATTCTGGATCGCTGATAGCTATATTTCTATAAATACATTAACATTAATTTATGAATCCGTTATTAAAAACAAAAAAAATAATAATATCAAAATAATTTTAAAAGTTCAATAATTCACAAGTGAGCAAATTTCCGACCACAAAATTTTGGCGCCTCCAAAAAACTGGCGCCCGGGGCAGTTGTAGCTAGTGCCCCCCCCCTCTTAAATGCAACCCGGTTAATATTATTAAATTAAATAAATAAAAATATACAAAAAAATATTTAATACGTTATGGTAAACGAGTATTTGGTATAACGAACTGAACACAAAACATAACTGACCCAATTTCTCGGAATTTAACGATCTCGGCGACTGATATATGTGAAAGACACTTGACTGATCAGTCAAAATCGTCTGCGACTTGATTGTCTGTAATCGGATACGTAACCGTCTCGTAGCTGATATGTGAGAATAGACCTTAAGCCGGTCCCACACGATTCGTGTACTCGGCGAATAATCGTCAATCGTGATACTTTACAAGTCGTGTAGGAGGTGTTTAATCTTCAAGTAAGACGATTATTTTTACTCGCCGAGTCACTCGCAGTTTCCCGTCGATGTCGGATACAACACGAGTGACTCGTGCTGATAAGAAATTTAATCTTGGATTTTCCCCCAAAATAGACTATTATTTATTGTTAATATCACACGAGTTTATAACACGAGTCGTGTAGGAGCATTGGCGATGACGAGCAAAGTATATACAATTGACGAATAATCGGCGAGCACACGTGTGTAGGAGCAACATAATTACAAACATCGTACATCGTACAAACTTGGCAAGTACACTCGCCGAGTATACGCTCGCAAAGTACACGAGTCGTGTGGGACCGGCTTTAAAAGAGACTTACACACATAGGTTCAAATAAAGGTGGTTAGGGGCTTAGTCCACATAAAAATAATGATTATACTCAGTGGCATATTTTCATATTGTTTATGGGGAAGGATTACCATTTTTCTAAAAAATAAGTGATTTTATAATATCATAAAAAAACTATAAGGTACAAATTAATAATTTTATTATTAAATTATTGAACACAAATGAAGAGTTATTTACAACCACATGATATTATGTTTTTTTTCTCTGTACCTTCGTAGCAAGTCATTTATGACTTGTACTCTTTTTTCTGGGAGGTTGAGACCCAGGACCAATTAAAATTAATTTTTTTAATTTATAATTATTTATTT